ACATTTTTCAATACAATCAACTTGTATTTTAGCAAGTAAGGACAATAGGTGTTAGAAAAAAAAAAAAAAAAAAAATATATATATATATATATATATATATATATATATATATATATATATATATATATATATATATATATATATATATATATATATATATATATATATATATATATATATATATATATATATTCGCCTTATATTCTTGAAATAATAAAAAATCTTGGTAAATTATAACAAAGCTGGAAAAATGAAAAAAAATATGAATATCTAGAACCTTTTCCAAAACTGCTCACTCTGTTTTTACTTCTCACCATTATTTTTATATATTTTTTAATATAATATTGGTTAGTGTAAGTGTCTAGGTATGTTATGGTGGTTTTAGAATTTTGCTGATACTGTATATAGTTTGCCTGTTAACAATTTTAGACAAAAACAATTTCATCTCAATGTTGTATACTGTTCTGTTATTCATACTGGAGTGTAACATAGTATATAATACCTGTAATACATGTTTGTAATATTATACCAATATTATAAAACCTTTCAGAGTGATGGTAGATGCTCAGACATTTATCATATCCACAGGCGGTAATTTATTACACAGTTCACACACGTGATGCTTGAAAGTTTGAACAAGTGAAATATCGTAAATTAACGATAGAAATACAGTACTTAATATACACACTTTTAAAAGATTTCACAACACTTTTCATTACTTTTACTGATAGCTTAGATGTTTATTGTCTCCACAGAAGGACATTATTCCCCCCTTTTCACACAATGACGGTCACAAATTTGAATGCTGTAAGTAAAATAATGTATTATAAAATTTAATAAACGAACTCTTTATAAATACTTACAAACACTTTACAGGCAATTATTACTGCACAATGGATAACCCGGGTGTGTGTGATGGAGAGCAGGATATATTTTTAAAGGGTTCAGTCACTCCACCTTTTAGCTTGCTTGCTGGGAGAACACTAATGTTTAATTGGCATCACTCTATGGACAGTTGCCACGTAGCTAATTAGTGAGAGAGGAGGCCTACAGGAATGATGCAACAGAATCTCAAGTCAATTGGATTTACAGTACTTTAATTTTTATAAATATTTTTCTCTTAAGTGACATGATTTTCACGTTCGTGCCAATATAATGGACACTTGAGATGCATCACGGTGCCTGAGAGTGTTAAGAGGGTAAAAGCATGTATCACTTATAAATCAAAATCAATGAATTTTTCCAGTTCATAATTCAAAATAAATTAATTCTCTACATAGTAAAATTTCATTCATTGCGTATCAGAATATAGTAATACAATATCTTCATTAGCCGGAATCCCTCAAACCCGGAACTCTCTAATAGCTAGAATTGAAATTTTCTCGAAAAACGTTCCCAAAGCTGAAATTTTCCCGAAAATTCCAGCTTTGGAAACGATTTTCCGAGGGGCACATTTTCTGGAAATTCCAAGAAAATTTTTCCGGTACAGTACCCGGAAAATTCCAGGGATGGGGGATACTTTTCCAGGTTTGAGAGATGATCTAATGGGCAATTTCTGGAACTTCCGAAATAATTTTTCCGTTAGCCAGAAAATTCTGGAAAATTCCGGGGATGAGGGATTTTTTTTCCGAATTTAAGAGAGTCGTCACGTTACCCAGAAATCTTTAATTCCCAGAAGTGCTCTGCACCAACTGTTCTGGCTAACGGAGATATCACTGTATTGTACACGTACTTAAATTTTTCAACTTAATTTCTAGCATTACATATAAATTTATAAAATTCAGTGATTTTCCTTATGTATCCCCATGTGAAGATTGGCTTATAACTGGCCAGAATCTGATTATTGTTTTGATGGGTAATTGTTGTTACGATACAGTTAACAGTACATATCTCTATACTGTACAGTGGGGTTTCATTTTGCATGGGTATACAGTATCATATTGATACACGTCCACACATCAGAAACATGCACAAGCGATGATGCCCTGTAACGCGTGTTAAAATTGCTATATTCTACTGGACTCACCAGAGCTTTACTCTAGAATGACTTTGGGTAACCAACTTAACTGTATCTACTGTACATTATTAAATAAATATTTTAAGAAAGTCATGAAGTTAATTATGCAATACTTTACCGTCTCCACCAAATAGTGGAGGTGTGGGAAGCTCTGGAAGACAATGGGGGTCCAGGCAGGGGGATGAAGGCTAGTCATATTCAAAGCCTTCAAATTCAACTGCAAACACTTGTAAAGCAACTTCAGCTTCATCACCAATCTCCAGAGTGGCAGGATCATCATCCTTTGATTCTCCCTGAATTGTTGAGGTGTAAAATAGGTGGTGATGAGAGCTTGTTGGTGGTGTTTAAACTCCTGGTAACGATGCCTGTAGGGTCCCACCAAACTGTCTAACTGTGCACTGGGCTCGTCACTTGTGTTGCAAGCTGGGCTCAGCGCTTATTAAAGTATTCTTGAGTTCTTCAATGTGACTAAGAACTTGTCTCACATGGTGCTGGGTTATGCATCCCTTGGTCTGCTCTGGTACTGTCACACTACCAACACTTATTTAGCTTGTTGTCTATTTTGAAGTCAAATTATATATTGTATTTTGTTCTATTATTTAATACTATACAGTGGTCCCTCGGTTAACGAGCACAATCCGTTCCAGCAGGTTGCTCGTTAACCGAAAAACTCGTTAACTGAAACCATTGTTTCAATGGGTTTTTGGGTAATTGGTTCCAGCTCACCGAAAATTGCCTAAATTCAACAAAAAAGGTAGAAAAGTACACTTACTTTGAGGTGTGTATGTAGAAGGCTCCTGGATGATGATGGGAATTAGAATGGGAGTGGAGGAGAAGGAAGAAGAGAAGGCATTGGGGTGGAAGAGAAGTCACCCCATGGCACCATTTCACCCATAAAATTTTAGTTCTCTTGGTGTAATTCAAGATTATTTTCTTTAAATCAACACTGCACTGCATTATATATTGTCAATATGTAAAATATATTTCAAAATGACCAATAATTTGCTTGGAAACACAGAAAAAAAGCATTTAGTTGAAGAGAGTCTCAAGCAAGATGTTACCTCCACTGAAAACAGAGAGACTAACGCCTGTCTGGTGTGTTAACAGGCTGGATGGCATGCCAGAAAATAGTTTCTTTACTTTCAATTTTATGTTCAATAATTGTTAAAATGACTAAAAAAAGTTAATATTAAACTTTTAAAATTATTGAATAGTATAAACTTCTTGATATTTACTAAAATAGTAAGGAATTTAAGCCCTAAAACCGATTACTGTATTGGCGAACTAATACTACAGCTGGTGGACCGCCAAATGCAAGTGAAAACATGTTGAAGTCGGCTCGTAAAAAACTCGTTAATCGAGGGATTGCTCGTTAACCGAAGTTAAGAATCTTACGGAAGGTAAATCGTTAACCGAAATCTCGTTAAACGAGGCGCTCGTTAACCGAGGGACCACTGTACTGTATGTTACATTATTTATGATGAAACATACACTATAATAGGCTGATCATATTATCATACAAGAATATAATAATGAATACGTAATAACAGTGGTGAATGAGGCAACAGCCAGGCACATATACTCGGGTACAAGGGGGAAAGATCAAGTGAACCTTGTCTCTATTTTTTTTCCTTTTTATTTCTTAACATGATTTCTCACACCTTATGCCTTAGTCTTGTTCTTATTTACTTAAACAATTGCAGAGGGTGTAAATGGGAGGTAGAGGCAGGGTGTGGTAGGGGGAGTGAGGGTTGTTATGGTCACTTTTTGTCCCCCACAAACAATCCTTGTATGTGTGTGTGTGGGAGGGGGGGGGGGGTGACCACATGAGCCCTCCCACCCTGCTTCTGCCACCCTCTTCCACCTCTTATCTATACCCTCTGCAATTGTTTAAATAAACAAGAACAAGAATAAAAGATAAGGTATGAGAAATCATGTTAAGAAATAAATAGAAAAATAGAGAGAAAAAAGTGTAGAGAATAAATATAGTAGAGAGAAGGAAGAAACATTATGTCTGTGGGAAAAAGTAAATTTTACCTCATTCTCTCATGTAATATCCAGTCACCCATTGTATATAAACTTCTCTCATTTGTGGTGAAGGTGGTTTGAGGGATTAGCGGTCTAAATTATTACTGACCCATTGTCAGGGTGGGGAATTAGTGGGTCTCATGACCTGAAGATGTCTTAAATAAAGACAAAAGTAATATACAGTACACTGTACCCTTGTTAATTCGGATTTCAGCTTATTTTTATTTTTAATAAATAAACAATTTGAATTCAGAATGAATCTGAAATAAATGTGCGGTTCCTAATATATTATGAAACAGTTTAAGAGGGGAGTCTGGTGTAGGTGCTTTAAATTTTGGTTGATTGTTATGATATTCCTGTCATCAGTCAAAGATCATATGTACAGTCTCGGTCAAGATTCTTCGAACACTGCTGGAGACAGCTGGCAACTCAAGGCTGTTTGCTTACTATAGTACGTAGTAAAAATTATGAATTAATGTAAAAGTGATCAGTGATTGGTTACTTAGTTCCCCATTGCCTAATTATTGGTTGGGCTTTTTCTAAATTTTCAAGGTAGTATTTCTCCATTACTTCTTTCTACTTTGCCTGAAATTGATACTGCTAAGAGATCTAGTACTGTCATTGAATATTAGAGGGTGATATATTTGCCTTTGTCTTTGGTTTTAGGGATATAAATTTTTCAAGTTTGGTAAAATTTTCGTCAAAATATCGAGATAAAATATTCAACCCCAAAAAATCTTACAAGATAGAAAAAAATTGGAAACCGTAGTTTCCAATGTTGAGGAAAGGTTCTTCCTGTACTGAGTTTTTGTTTCATTAAAAGTGGTCAAAAACTGGCAGAGAAATTCCAATCCGAGTGTTTGAAAAGTTCATTTTGAGATACAGGCCAATAAAGTTTCTCAACATTTCTCCCCTGTGTAAGTGCTCATTCTGAGCTGATTTTACATGTAATATCTTGTTTTGTTTTTTGTTTTTTTACATCTCCAACTGAACTCTACTTAAATTCTTTACATGAGATTGAGGGGAGGGGTGTCTCCTGAGATGCTGTTGCCATTGTCAGTTTTAGCAATATTTTCTTATTTACTCCTCTTGGATTCAGCAATACTCTTGGCACGTGTTTCCTTTAGTTGTCTTTTACGTTTTGAATCACATGCCAGCCTGATATTCAAGGAGAGAAGCCTGGTACAGTAGTACAAGTGTGGTAAGATGTGCTGTGCAGCAGAGTATATGCCATTTCTCCTTGACAAGGCCTGGGACTTACTGACTAAACTTCTGTCCTGCTTCCCTCTACTCACTAGAGAGGAAGAGAGTTGCCTGAAGTGTATTTCTAAAGTCTTTTTTGGGCTATTTACTCCATATTTTTGGGAGGGAAATATTTTACCACGATCATTCATGTTTACCCAAGGGGACGTGGAAAACGGGTATGGAGGGGGGTTAAATCAAACTTGACTACATAAATATTACGAATATCGCTATAAAACTCAGTCTGCAAATGGCCATCGGCAACACTTTTGCTCAGGAATTTTTTCACATTTAATATATATATACACATATATTTTTTTTTCGTTTTTCAGCGATCTAGACCAGACGCTCCCCTTGACACTTAGGCCCTGGGTGACGTTCCAGAATGTCTGCTTATTTTCTCGCCATTTTACTTTATTTTTTTTTATTTTTTTATTTTTTATTATTATTTTTGGAAAAGTTGATTTTTGTTCTCGATTTATCCCCGCTGGGGGGGGGGGTTACTGCCAGCAGCACCCAAACCCAGGGCTTAAGGGTTAAGATGAATGAAAAATAAGAATAAAATATGAATTATATTAAGATACAAAACTACATTTGGGTGTGTCAGTGAAGGGTGGCAGAGGAGGGAGGACAACTCAGCACCTCCTGTTCAGCACCCCATGATTCCTTTATAAAAACAGCATGCAAATTTTGCCATAATTCCCATATTATTTCGGTTCATTTGGTGCCGGGTTAATAAAACATTATCAAAAAATAATTAAATTTCCCTGCAAAATCCAACACCCAATCCCAGATGAGCTATTGTGGTCTCTTGTTTACAGTACAGAATGTTATCAGCTGATCCTGCTCTCCCTAACAATGTTGCCAGGACCCACCATCTGTTAAGCACTGGATTTTTCGGTAATTTAAAGTGACCCAAAGCCCATTTTTTTTAATTAACGTAAATAAGCAAAATATCTATAATTAATGCTATACTGCTACCCGCGCTACCCATGACTGTCTGCGTATGTTATAACTATGGTTACATTTCAACCAATCGCATAAGTAATAACCGCGCACACGAGACCCACGTAAAATGAGACCCCACTGTATTTAAATCCCATTCTTAGGAGTGGTAAAGCACATAGGACAGTAGAGAAAAAATAGGGTAGAGGTGAAACAGTATGGGACAGTGATGCACAGCAAATGTGGAAAGGAGTGACAGGAAAGGTTTAAGTTAACAAACAGAAGTATCCACATAGAACTGCTTGTATTCTCAACTTAAGTGACAATAAACTTACATAATACTGATATGCATGGCAGAGCATTAGCCACCAATAATAGCTTCTTTGCATTTACCATGAAGTGAACACAAGCTCATCAATACAGTAGACTCTCAGTTACCTGACTTGGTTACCTGTCCTTCAATTTAAATGTATCTAATGACATGACTCAGATTCTACTATTTAACCACTTAGCCCTTATTTACTTGTTCTTTGGGAGGCAATTTACTAAACTTCGTGCAGCCTTCACTTTCTCTCCCCCCAAATTAAGATTATCAGTTGTTCACAAGTCCATTATATTTTTAATTTTAAAATATTTATAATGTCATAATACTAAATAAACTTGTGGTTTTTAACCTTCTATTTCATCTTTGACTGCAGTGGGAGCCCGTTGAACTATGAGTCTACTGTATAACATAAACATAAATTCTATACAAACACTCAGGTTCTTGATGATCCTATCTGACCATCCGAGGCAAGTAATGCATCCACAGTTTGACAGGCACTGAAAGTGTACACTGATTTAAAAGAATTTATCAATAAATTAAAAAAACTCTCTAATAGTATATAGTAATATTAAAGAGTGTATTTTTTATTGTTGTAATCTATGCCCATTAATTATATTTCAATAATGACTTTCAATTCCTATACATTAGCTACATAGAAAGTATTCTTCTCTTTTATAAATTAACTTCAATTATCCATTTCAATAATAGGAAAAAATCAGAAGACCATTGCACTGCAGTAAGTATCTAAGAACAATTTAAATCTCAGTCATGATTATAACATATTTATGGGTACAAACACTGAACCTCAGGAAGCTAATATCATCTATCATTCCATTTTGTGTTCCCAGAAATTTTTTGATAAGAGAAACATTTACCTCACATGTCTCTTGGTGATGACCCTTTGGCCTATAAAATACATATGTAGTTTATAAAAATGAGTAAAAAATTCAGAATACAGTAGTTTAAAAATGCTTGAAGTAACTGAAATATGCAAGGAAGAATTAGAAATGTAAGGTGTGAGTACATTACAGTTATGAACCAAATAAAAGACTAAAGGTATATCTACACTTCAACATGAACAGAAACCTTAAACAATATCTCAGATGAACATATTCCTGTGCATATGTTGACAAGTACAAACACACTGAATAGGCAAAGCAAAGGTATAAAAAAAAAAGTACAAATAAGGCTATGTCCTGCGGCATCGAGCAACCAGGGCGTAGACGTGCGACCTACTTTCCAAAGCGACCTGTGTCCCACCTGCCAGAGTAAAATATACCATCTATGCAGCGCAGACGTATGCTGGTACTTTAAGAAAATAATGCTTTTCAATGCATTGTACCTGCAGAGGTTCCTAGGAAAGAACATCCCATATATCACAGGAGGATGGAAGTAGGCAAATTTCACCATCCCAACAAAGAACTTTGTCAAGATCCAAATAAGGTTCACGAGTATACGAGAATGTATTCTGATTGGGGAAAAGGCCTATCTACTCTGTGTATATTTGTTAAAACCCTATTCTAGGAATGCTCTGAACAAAGAAAAAAATAATTACAGATTGTCACATGCCAGGCATGTAGTAGAGTATGCATTTGAAACTTGTACAAGTAAATGGATAATTTTAAATAAAGCTACTGAAACAAAAGTAGATACTGCTGTTGACATTGTAAAGTGTGCTTCACTTTTCCATAATATCATCATTGACACAGAGGGTCTGGATGTAAAGTCTTGCAATTCAAGAATGAACAGTTGGGAATAACACAGCACCTTCTAGAATAAACAATGCATTACATTCTTCTGCATAGAATATGAGAAAAACTTTTTTCAGCTACTTTAATAGTCCACAAGGCTTATATCTTGGCAGGATCAAGCTGTAAATACCGGGTAGTGGAAAATGATCGATTAACCTTCTTTAGCTTTGGAGAATACGAGGACTCGCGTGACTGAGGAAGTAGCAAACAAAATATTGATCGCTGCTGCCAGGTCTCGCATCTAGATCCCGCTTCCTGGTCACTTGCGAACGCTTCATGCGTCTACGTGGGACACATCAAAGAAAACACATATGTTTGTCCGCTACACCAAGGTAGAGCGTTTACTCGCGTGGTCAATCGATGCTGCAGGACGCTTGCACATGGGACATGCCCAAGAATAAACTTTAAATCCTTACAGCCATAAGAAAAAGAAGTCAGAATAAGAATAGAGCATTCATGCTTCCTTCAGACCTATTTAAGTAATTTTTTAAAGATACAGTACTATGAGTTTCTATGATACGTTAACACACTATTCTCTTGCAGCCTCAAGTAGTAAAGCACAAAAGTTATAATAAATTGGCTAGTAGTTATTTTATCAGAATACCTGCAGTTTACCTTAAGATACATAAATATTATATTCCACATTTCTTATTAATCTGTATAAATAATTAACTCAACACTGCACAATGTGTTTCTTCACTACAGTAGAATCCCATAACTCGTGCCCCTCTAATTTGAAATCAATCATAATTTGTAATGTTTTGCTATTACAAAATATATATTACAAATTTCATATTTGGTAAAATTTCAAAATATAAGAGACATTTTAAAATATTACGATATATATTACATTTTTCATAATATTTGGTAAAATTTTGAATTATGAGTCATTTATGAATATATATAACGCACATGTCGCCATGGGATGCGACCGCCGACTGCCCATCAATTCACGTTGGTCAGTTGTGAAGTACAGTACAGTATACGTCTACGGTTTACAGCGTAAGCTTTTTTCCACTTGTTTTCCCATCATTGTCCAGTGTTTCAGCCAATATGCCTAATAACCCTGGATCAAGAATCTAAATCTGGTACAGAGGATACTGTACTGAGAAATGTTTGAGTTTTGCCTTGGACAGATACTGGAAAAGTACCACTGTTTATTGTTTTTTCCCTCTGGAAAAAGTGTCCCTCTTATTTCGTAAAATCTCATAATTCGTAAGGGCTAGAGCCCCTATTATTTTGAATTATAGGGTTTTACTGTATGTCTACTTGACTACATGCCAAACATTTTTTCTTTTTTTTAATTACTTTTTTTCTTCACATATTCTTGTCAGCTTAAATTATCATAGGTATTATAATACAAACACACATTAGAATACAGTACTATTTTATCAAATCTCCTCAGACACACCAAAAAGTACCACTGTTCCTAAACACTTGGAAATCACTTTCTGTTCATTACCAACACGGTTATAAGATCTCATTCAGAAAAAAATTCACAATTAATCCTTTGTACAAATAGCACACAAAACTGTGCTTCTAAATGTTCCCAAACAAAGGTAAAGTTTAGAATTCCCAAAGTTATATTATTTAACTTTCATCCTTGTGTATAAACAGAATACCGGTGATAACTATTCAAGTTGTGTATACTTTATATCAAATTTTACAATGAGTCAAAGGGGATGAGTCTTTGAGGCACAGCTTATTGGGCCACATCCTGCAACACTATACAATAAGTCATTAAGTCAAACATGGGTCAGTGAGGGGGAGGTTTGGGGCTCTTCCCAAGGAAAATATGCATTACACAAACTTTCAGGGCTGAGTTTTTCACTGCAACTTACCTGGCAGAAATCTTTAGAACTGAAATTTAAGGAACCGGGAAACTAGATTCAAATTGCCCATAAAGTCACTGGGTATGGCATTAGAGTACTTGTGACAGAGAGGAAGTGTTCAATTGCAGCAGTTACTGTAGAAAGTAATTATAATTGTCACAAAAGTAGTCCTATGACACAGATACAATTTAAAATGTCTCATAATCTAAAGAAGCATCATGGTGCTGCAATTCTTTATTGCACTAATCTTGGACACATTTTATTTGGTGTGGCAGTGATTATCTGATATAGCTACATAAGACTTAGTGTTTTGAGAGGGGGTAATTTCAGCCTGTCAAAATGGTTTCTCCTGTAGCTTGTGGTTCTAGAAAGTTAAAGTGGACACTTATTAAGATTTCTACAGACTCTGTAGCAGTATTCCCTTATAACTGAACTAATATTACAGGTGACAAAAAGATGGCCTCAGTAATAACCACCCCGCCCCCCTCTCCTCCCAACGCTTCTGCCACCACGATGAAATTCCAAAGTACCTGTAGAGAAACAAAGATATAAGTTTGGAAAGACCATTTATGGCAAAGTGGAAGAGTTACTTGACTAGTAAAATACATTTCCAGAAAACCCCAAGGCAGAGCTTGCCCTGTCTCGGGGGTAATGTGCATTCAGAGGAAATGACACTGTCCAGTATAAATGAAAAGTTGCCTGCACCCCTCTCCCTCATTCTTGGTTTCACCTCTCTCCTTCCCTCTCACCCATGCTTTCACCTCTCTCCCTCTCCCTCACTCTTGCTTTCACCTCTCTCCCTCTCCCTCACTCTTGCTTTCACATCTCTCACTATTAAATCTATGTTATAATTGACTTAACATTGTGACATTACAAATACATGACTAAACTCTACATACACCGGGAACCAGATCTCTTCTTCTCAATATACTTTCAGTAACATACAACAATTGCCTGTTCATCCCATATTGTTTTTTCTATCAATTCTTCCATAATTATATATTTCCAAATCCATAATGCTATAAACAAACTCTTCCCATTCTTTGGAAAATTTTCATTCATACTCCTTCACACAAACATTTGATCCACTTATCCCCTTCCTCTCCTGGTCCCACACTATTCTTTCCCTCAGTCAATCTGTGTTTGGACCATTATTCACTCAATAAACAATCTTTAAGTTATTACTCAATTATATTAAGGGTAATCCTTACCAGAAAAGCCAGCATTGCTATCTCCACTCCCATCATATCTTCCACGATAATTAGACTGAAAGAAAATCATACAATATATATGAATCCATATACAGGTACTCAGGAATAATCGTAATTTATCAACCACAGAGCAAATCACATTAAATTTCCTTTTTTCTAGTGCCTGACATTTTGAAAACTAGCTTTATTTTTCTAGCCTTTGTAATATTTCCCCAAATTTGTTGGGTGACAACCACTTAGTCTCAAACAAATACAACAAAAAAACAAGAAGCCACAATGTAAGACTAACCCCGCTATCATACTCCTGCTGGTAATGTCCAGATATGGCCAAACTCTTCTGGAATTCTCGAATCATCTCCAGTTCCTTTGCCGAGTGCTCGGATGATGCTCGCAGTCCACCCGCTCCTCTGCCGGCACTCCAGTTTCCACCTCTCCCACCCGTTTCATCACCTCTACCTCGGCCTCCCTGATTGCGGTCATAACTAGTATACTGATTTCCTTGTCTGTTGCTGTACTGATCATAACTATTGTCATAGTGGGTGCTGCTTCCTCTACCACTGCCTCCATCACCCCGATAATCATTATAATTACCTACATCACCCCTGTAACCACTTGAGCTTCCTTCAGTAGACCTGTAACTACCTCTGTAATTACTACTGTTGCCCCCATCCCCTCTAAAACCACTTGTATTATTGCCTCTCCCACCCCTATAACCACTATAATTCCCTCTATCACTTCGATAAGTACTTCCACCACCATCTCCACTACCATAGCTGTTGCTGTTACCGTAACTGCTAGTTCCACCCCTACTGCCACCTCCACCTCTATAGTTGCTACCCCCTCGACCTCCTCTCCTTCCATTTCTATCTCCCCGACCACTCCAGTCCTGAGAATTGTTTGCTCTACTGCTACTTCCATCATAGTCTCGTCTGCTGCCACCATCTCTATTTTCTGTGTCCCTTTGATAGTTCCCATAAGCTCTCTGTCCCCCTTCCTCTCTCCCATAACCTTGCTGCCCAGTGTAGTTATTATTGTATGAGTTAGATTGATGTTCCCTCCCTGTGGCTGTGACTGTGCGAGGCACTGGCTTCCTTGTCATGTTCTCCTGGTACTCTTTTTCCTCCATCAATTCTTTGCTCTCGAAAAAGGTTCTGTTGCTTGGGGCAGGTGACTTCTCCTCTCCAGGAGCTGGCCAGTTCTCAGCGGTCAAATTTGGAGGAGTAACACTGAAAAAATACATATTGTATCAATTTATTAAGATAACTTCTTGCACTAAAAACAGCAATATGACATAAGGCGTAATTTTCATCAAAGTATCAGCTGCCAACACGCTTTAAGAGTGGAAGACTCAAATACAATACAGTATTCATGTATTTAGTAAACAAAAAATTATGTTGACACAATCATTATTAAAATAAGTACTGTATTGTATTGTCAGCACCAAATGATTTATTCCTATAATCAGAATTAAACACTAGTAACACGGTACATTATTAGCATCACTTGAAGTATTAAGCTGTTCTTTTGTCTCTTCATATTGACAAAATCAACTGACCAAACTGTAAACAGAATTTTTTTTTCACTCATATAAGTACCATCGCTAAACTAGTGGACTGTACATACAAACACCAAGTTACAGAGAAAAGGCAGACAAGAAACACATACATTAATCCAATAGCTACCCAGTATATACAAGGTGATTACCTGATTAGGCACCTCAGCTTATATCACCTTATAAGTAAACACCCTAAACTAACGGGTGGGGGATTAAGATATGATGATCTTAGGACAACCGCTAGGTGTAGTAATATGACTAAGACATTTTTTAAATGTCCAGGGTGAAAGTTTTTACACTTAGTCTGCCAAGTGTCTTCTTAGCAACCCCCTGAGCTGAATACCCAGCAGCTGAGCCAATCATTGTGGAGTATGCCTCAGTCTGATACAAACAGTCATAGAGGAAGGAGACACGACTTCTGCTCCTCCTTCTGACCTTATGGTAGCCAGTAGGGAGCGTAACGGTGATAGCGCAGCAATTTTACAACCATCAACAGAGTCCATGCCATCATGAGAAAAAAAAAACATAGAAGAAAGAAAAGCCTTTCTGCTAAAAAAACTGATTAAGAGTTGGGTAGGATTGAGGCAGTTAGTGGTGACAGTGAGTGGGAACCAAATGATGAAGATATAAGTAATTCCTCACAGGAGGAGGAATTTTGGCAGAGCCGCTCTACACCAGATGACGCACCAACACAAACAATATCTGCGCCCAGTACCCAGGCAAGTGACTGTGATAGTACCCAAGTAAGTGACCCTGAATCACCACCTGCTACTACTATACACTACACCAAGACAGTAAAAAATTTTCTTTTGTGTTTTGTAGTGATGGGAGAGATTTTGTGCCAAACATTCCCGAATTTGTTCCATCAACACCAGGAATGTGTCAGAATTATCGGCTTCCAGAAGACAGTATGCTGTGTTTGGCATGAGTGTTGTGTATGTCTCCGTGTCTGTGTGTGTGTGTGTGTGTGGGTGTGTGTGTGTGTGTGTGCATGGTGTGTGTGTGCATGGTGTGTGTGTGTGTGAGTGTGCATGGTGTGTGTGTGCATGGTGTGTGTGTGTGTGTGTGTATATGGTGTGTGTATGTTTGTTTGTATGGTGTGTGCATGGTGTGTGTGTGTGTGTGTGTGTGTATGTGTGTATGGTGTGTGTATGTGTATGGTGTGTGTATGTATGGTGTGTGTGTGTGTGTGTGTGTGTGTAATAACTAATATGTAATATATATATGTATAATAATAATAATAAACGGGTTATTTAAAAAGTTCTGCAGCCCGAAGGCTGAAAATATACATTGGACATAAATGACTTATTACATACATTGGTGGTTTAACAAAAGCCTTCATTAGAGAAAGGTGAAGGAACATACAGTGAACATACAGATTAATGTTTACAGCGGAGGTCACGTAGATCATGTGAGCTGAGGTGTTGAACAGCAGACACGTTGTGTAGTAACTCCCTCACAGATGGCGTTATGAGGGGCATCACGTGGAGTAGTAGTTCCCTCACAGGTGTTGTTATGAGGGGCTTGACGTGGTGTAGTAATTCCCTCACAGATGGTGTTATAAGGGGCCTGATGATGTAGTAATTCCCTCACAGGTGGTGTATGAGGGGCCTGATGATGTAGTAATTCCCTCACAGATGGTGTTATGAGGGGCCTGATGTGGTGTAGTAAATCCCTCACAGATGGTGTATGCGGGGCCTGATGTGGTGTAATAATTCCCTCACAGATGGTGTTATGAGGGGCATCACATGGCGTAGTAATTCCCTCACGGATGGTGCTATGAGGGGCATCACTGGTGTAGTAATTCCCTCACAGATGGTGTTATGAGGAATAACATGGCGTAGTAATTCTCACAGATGGTGTTATGAGGGGCCTGATGTGGTGTAGTAATTCCCTCACAGATGGTGTTATGAGGAACCTCACATGATGCTGTAGCAACTCATTCACTTCGTGGTGTCGTAGCATCATGGGGACACCATGTAGTCTGTTATCACAGGACTTCACTCACTCAAGTGGGTGAGGTGTGGTCCCAGGCCTCTCTATCGTGGAGTCTCAGGGGAATTATCACTGGGTACCTGGGACCTCACTGTGTGAAGGTTATCTTAGGTAAGACTCAACTGACGAGTTGTTTTTCACTGACTTAAGCACTGTTCACCACTATTCAACACTGGTTCCATTCCTTTCCCAAATGAAATAGTAACTTCTGGCGATAACTTGTTGATATTCCGGTGGGGAGGAGGGTTCAGGGGAGGGAGTTGGTATGGGCCAACACCAGTTGGCGTGGCTGTTGCTGAAACAGCGCCAAGTCGTCTTGACCGGCGGTGGTCAGGATGAAGTAGTAAGTGTGAGTGTGAGTGTGTGTGTGTGTGTGTGTGTGTGTGTGTGTGTGTGTGTGTGTGTGTGTGTGTGTGTGTGTGTGTGTGTGTGTGTGTGTGTGTGTGTGTGGTGGTGGTGGTGTGTGTGTGTGTGTGTGTGTGTGTGTGTGTGTGTGTGTGTGTGTGTGTGTGTGTGTGTGTGTGTGTGTGTGTGTGTGTGTGTGTGTGTGTGTGGTGGTGTGTGGCTGTGGTGGTGGTGTGTGTGTGTGGTGTGTGTGTGTAATATGTAATAATAATAGTGCGGTTTATTGAAAGAGCTTGGCGTAGAGGCTGAAATATACAGTTACATATTTGGGGAATGGGTTCTGATACAAATAATATACCATTAACATAAATTGACACAAATAAGGCATATAATAACTAGATGGGGAAAAGCTCAAACTACAGTTCATTTCAACATAGTGACAGTGTAAGGAGCAGTGTTTACTGGGAGTGAATACACTGATTTATTACAAGTTATTGATAATTTTTACAATGGTTGGGACTGGGCTGTTCTTATAGCGATCAGTTCGTGCACGTATGGGCTGGATGCGGTTGTGGTGTCGAACAGCAATTCTCGGACAGGGGATCTCAGGTGGTAGTAGGGGCCGGTGTCGGGGATGGTGTAGAAGCTTCTTACCAAATTTGCAGATGAGGCCGTGGTGATGGTCAGTGGGAGTCGAAAGGGTCAGTGTGTTGAGCGCTTCTTGATATGTGGAGTAGGAAGGGGAGAGAATAATCTTGCATGCCCTCTTTTGCACTTTTTCTAGGTGTTTACGTTGTGTGGCATTTAGGGAGGATGACCAGGTGGGGGAGGCATAGGTGAGCTTGGGAAGTATGAATGTTGTGTATACACTGAGGAGCTCGTGTGCAGGAACTCCGAGGGACTCGAGTCGGCGGAGCAGGTGGAGACGGAAACTGGAGGATTTGACAACTTCACTGACGTGTGGTTTCCAATTTAGTTTGTTGTCTATGGTGGCCTTGAGGAGCTCGTGGAATCTACAACCTGGAGTTGTTCGGACCTAGAGTAATGGAAGGAGGTGGGACAATGGGAGGAAAGGTTGATGTGCATAACCATGGTCTTGGTATGGTTGATGGTGACATGGTTGTTGGTGGCCCAGTTTTTGGAGAGTGTTCAATAAATCCTGAAGGGGCGGTATAGTTGGGAGCAGAATTGTTGGCGCTGATCCCAATGGTGATCGTCGCATATTTCCAGCGAGCAGGGGTTTCTCTTAGGGCATCATTGATGAGCATAAGGAAGCAAGTGGTCCCATCTTGGTGCCTTGGGGGCATACAGGTGAGTGACTGAAGGTGGAGACAGCCCCTGGGAAGGCGTACAGCTTGGCGTCGGTCACTGAGAGTCAGTAAGCCATGGTATAAGACTTCTCGAGCCAGGTCAGCAGCTTTGTTGATGATTATATTGTGGTGCGACTAGGTGTGAGCAGCTTGTGAAATCTGTGGAAGGCAGCTACAACGTTTTAGGATATCCAGACACACAAACTTTCTACAGATTAGGCTGGGTATTGGGGTGACTGCAATAGGTCATAGCTGATTTAAGGATTGTGGGCTGGTTGACTTGGGCACTGGTGATACATAAGAGGTCTTCCAGTCAGCTGGGCATCTGGCTTGACTGAGAGAAGCATTGATGATGGAGCAGAGGGGTTTGGCAAGCTCCGGGGAGAACTCCTTGAAGAGTTTCATTGGTAAGTCAATGGGGGTGGTAGAGCGTTTAAATTTTAGTTTGTCCAGGCGTTTTGCTACGTCAAATTCTTCTACTAAGTCAGTGGGAAGGGGGGCTGGTAGGTAAACAGGGAGAGTGGTTCTGTCAAGCCGGGGGAGCGTCTGGCATATAGTGGCGAAATGGTTATTTGTTTGCTCAGCTGCGTCAACATTAGTGAGATGGCTAAGGAAGGGGAGGGGTTGTGTCTTATTGTTTAGTCCACAGAGTTCTTTAAGCTTACCATACCATTGACTGATGTTGGTCTGCTTCAGGTGTTGTAATTTGGTTGGGTAGTGGGACTTCTTTGCAGTGCGTATTTCGCGGATGACTTGGTTGCGAAGTGACCTGTAGCGGATGTGGTCATTGAGATGAAAGGCTCTGTCTCTCTGTTGCATAAGTCTTTTGATCCGAGGTGTGATCCAGGGCAAGTCAGCTGGGTGAGATCTGACGGCCTTCTCGGGAAGAAGTGGTGGTGAGCTTCCGTGGTGGTGTTGTGTGTGTGTGTGTGTGTGTGTGTGTGTGTGTGTGTGTGTGTGTGTGTGTGTGTGTGTGTGTGTGTGTGTGTGTGTGTGTGTGTGTGTGTGTGTATTGTGTGTG